CAAATAACAAATTTTGACGATGTGAACAATGCTCTGTCTTCGATTGTCCATTGGTTTAGTATGAATAACCTTCTACTTAATGCAAAAAAGACAAAATGCATTAAATTTTGTGCAAAAAATGCAAGGGTTATGGATACTAGACCAATTATAAACGGTGAGGAATTGAATCTGGATGATACAACTGTATTTCTCGGAATCACCATGGATTCAAAACTTCAGTGGTCCCCTCATATTAACGGATTGGCGAAGAGACTTAGTTCTGCAGCCTACGCGGTTAAAAAAATTCGCTCACTAACTGATGTCGATACAGCTAGACTTGTTTATTTTAGTTACTTTCATAGCTTAATGACTTATGGCTTATTATTATGGGGTCATGCTGCTGATGTCGAAACTATTTTCATCCTGCAGAAGAGGGCTATTCGTGCAATCTATAATTTAAAATGTAGGGAATCTCTTAGAGATAAATTCAAGGAAATTAATATACTTACCTTTCCCTCGCAATATATTTATGAAAATATTATGTATGTATACAAAAATAGTGATAAGTTTACTAGAATAGAACATACGCACAATGTTAATACACGGAACAAACGCAGGCTGCAATTTCCCCGTACTAGACTATCTAAAGTTAGTAATTCTTTTTTGGGGAAAGGGATACTCTTCTTTAATAAAATCCCAGAGGCTCTTTTATCACTGCCTTTCAATAAATTTAAGAAATGTATTAAAGAAAAGCTGTGTAAAAAGGCTTACTATAAAGTCAACGATTATCTAGTTGATAAAAGGGCCTGGGACTAGTGCTAGACAGGCTACTTCTAATCAATTTGCGATATTTGTTTTAAATAAGTGTTGTTTGATGATTTGCTGTTTTAAAAGAGTACCGAGAGTTTTTTACGCCGGCTTTTTCTCTCGGCCTACACCCTCTGTCTTCTTTGCCGATGAGTAGGGATGCCTTCAAATTTAATGACGTGGAATAAGTGATACATGTATCTTATGTTCCATAATAATAAACATATGGGTAACGGGAGCTACTTATTTATTAAATCAGCCTCAAAGATTTCTATCTCAGTCTGGATCTCACTTATTCATATAAAATTTAATATAACGTAATCGTGTAACATTTAACTTTAAGGATCTAAGCAAAAAACGCAAATATAATCAACTGGGCTCTCAGAACCAGAACATTGCTTATGTGCCCATTTACCACAACTTCTACAACGGTACCACATCTCATTGTTTTTTCCTATATCACAGCAAATAGCACACAATGTCTCTTCTTCTGAATATTCTGACTCATCGTCGCAAAGATTCTCAACATCTTCGTCTTCAGACGTCTCCGTTTCATCCTCAAAAAGTTTCTTTTTAACTCTTGTTACATTTTCTTTTTTGTTCATTGCCTTCTTTAGTTTTTTCCCTTTTCTGCTCTACTTTTTCTATTTTTGTTGATGGTTTCTCCCTTTCTCTTTGTACTGATTTCAGTTTTATTTTTTTTCTCTAAGCGTTTCTTCTCTTTCTCTTCAAATACTGCTTTCATTGGCGTGCTAGACAAAATTACTGAATGTTGTTTTTGTCTAGAAGTCTTATTTTTGTTAGTTATGTTAGGTAGTGGTCCAAGATGCTTTCGTAGTGGTGCGTTCTCTTTTTCTTGGCATTTTGATATCTAAAAAATAAAAATAATTTTGATAAGAATGTTGGGGTAATCAGAGCCTAATAAGCTCTAATTACCCGACTACCACCATCTTGAAATTTAATAAAATTAAATACTGCATCTAGCTTGTAACGAAATTATACGTAAAGATACTCAAAATTAATAACATTAATTATAAAATAAAAAAGGTTTGATTGTAACAAACAAATATCTTCATACATACCTGGCAATTTGAAATTTCGTATTTTTTATAAGCGCGGACTACAAAATTGACAAGCGTCCGGGGTCACATCACACGTGGCAGTGGCGAGTCGAGCGGCGCGGGGGACACAAACGCAGTGTGCCGAAAGGGCCTAAGTGGCAACTGAGTAAATACGAGCTGTAGTTTAGTCTTTAGGCGCACCGCTCCCATTACCCTCGGTTCCCCTATACACCGTTACACACGATTTACTCACACTTCTAACTTTAATATTAGTATTATTATTTTTCTACTTGGTATTATTATTATTTATTTTACTTTATTAGAGGCGCAATCTAGCTGCTGTGGTCTCTGGCAGAATGACCAGCGCTGTGGAACTTTTTTGCTCCTCAGCATAATGCTGAGCCAGGGCCAATTACAACCACAGTACACACACATTGCACACTGGAAGCGAACCAAATGGCAAAAGGGAAATTTTTAATTTTTATTGTTTTTGATGTCTTATTTTATTTTTTTCTGTAAGTATTGTTATTTTGTGTGTTTATGTGTGTGTGTTTTCGTTTGTAATAAATGTTATGTCTATGTCTATGATGCGCACACGCAATATATCTGATATATTTATTATTCGAATATGTCGCAGACAACTAGCTTAATAAGCCGTTCAATTAAGAGACTAGTCTTTTAACTAAACAGCGCCGTTTAACTAGCGGCCTGAAAGATTTAGCCGTAGCGTTTGTAACAACATTTAACAAACTGGCTGGATTATGCTTAGGCCATTCGTACAATAGAATGATCTTGAGGCAGAAATAAAAGCTTGAAACATCTGACATAAAAAAAATATTTGTTTTAAAATTAAATTGCTTGAGTCAGACAGCTAAATTCACATTATTATTGTGACTAAACTCTATCATTGTACTTGTTATTTTTCATTGAAAAACACCATCAAAGCATGGTTTGCCAACGCCATATTAACAGTTCGAATTTAAGAATGGCAGAAAGTGGAACTAAATTTAAATTAACAGTCAAAAGGTTAGGTAAGTTATAAAACGTCATCGATCCATGTCATTTACCTAGGTGTTTGATCAACTGGCTGAATATCTTTCAGGCCGCTAGTTAAACAGCACTGTTTAGTCAAGAGGCTAGTCTGTTGATTGAACGGCTAATGAAGCTAGTTAGCTGCGACAAAGATATTGCAATGAGTGTTTGTATTTCTGTAGTGTAAAATTTATGATTTGTCAAGTCCATAATTAGTTTTGCGTACCTTTGCACCTTCAATTGTGTTGTTATAAAATTAAACTAAATAACTTTAATTAATTCGTGTTCCTAATTTTTAGTTACAAAAAACGGTTTTACGAGAATACTCCTCGACCTCTACAACGCGGTCGGGGTCTAACGCGTTATAGAGAGATACTGTATTGTGGGTGAGATATGGAAGTGACCTAGGTTTGATTTTCGATGTAACAGTTTATTAGCTACAAAAGGCTGATCGCTTCTTAGCTTTCAAAGCAGAGGCAAGAATGTTCGTACCCTTGCTGAACTTCAAACAACAGTAGTTTCTATAAATAAACGACTCGTTCATTGAACATACTGGTTTGTTTGATGGTGTGAAAAGCCGACTTGACACACAACAGACCAAATGGGTGTCTGCGGGAACTGAGTCCACACTTAGAGGAATAACCAAATAAAACAGTAAAATTAAACAATTTATTATAAAATATACAATAACGCCACAATTTCGTAAGCACTTAATACCTACTCAGGTACAAAAGTATGTCATTTACAATTGAGATTTCAGAATTAATACATAAAAAATGCTATTTCTATACAAACAACAGTTTTATATTTCTATAAAAATATGTTTCACACTTATTAAACCAAGTTATAAAATATCGCAGCGATAACGTTAATCAGTTTTGACTTACGAAATTTAAATTGTTTATTAAAATTATGTTATACCTTAATTTAAATCATTTTTTAATATCGCAAATGAAAAATAAAATCCTTGAATTAAGTTAATTTTAAATTAAATTTTCATACTAGGTATGAATAATCTACAAAAATATTTTTTAATTATTAAATATGTGTGCGTGTGTGTAAACAACCTTCAAAGTGCTTGCTTTTAATAATAACGTGAAACGAAACCTTAACCATGGTATAATTAAATTAACTTAATTATTATTCATTAATAATAAAGTTATAAACTAGTATACCTAGTATTTGGAAAAAGCTGGAGGAGCCCTCTACCCGTGTAGGGGTTCCGATCGATGGCACTGAAGGAAGTTAAGATATTAGGATAACTAGAAAAAAATATACATAATAAATTTAAACAGTACATTTGTAGACATTAGAAATAAACGGGCTCTATTATAAGCCTCCAAATACGAAGAACACAACTTTTTAAAACCGAGTTATATAAGATAATTAATACCCGTTTTTGAAATAAAATAAGAAACATTAAATCTATTTTTTTAAATAATAATGAATAATTTTTATTTTCATAATTTTTTTAAGCCCCGTTAGATGTCACTCAACCAACTCACGTATTTTTTAGTCGAAGAGTTTTAGATAGATACACATGACAGTTCTCAAGCGTGGATTCTGACTTAATTCGTAAAATTGATCATTTAAAAAAATCAAATTATTCATGTAGGTAACACAATGTACACTTATGATCGTCAAACAAAGAAATGTATATGAAATGCTTCTAACTTTACATTTAGTGCCAGTTCTTAAAGCAAGGGCATAGAACGGAAGAGAAGAACTGGCAATAAACCTCTGCCACTCTTTTTAATCGACATGTTTTTTTTACACAACGTTTGTAAGGCGCTGCAACCATTACACCATGTTCCACGTGATATCTTAAATAATAAATAATAATAAAATAAATTAAAAAACAAAGACTTGTCTATCAGCAGGCATTTTTGAATTTGCCCGCTCTACGCCCTCGACTTGCGAACTGGTAGTAAATGTAAATTTAGAATCAATTTAACATCTTTTCTGTTGACGTTCATAAGTGTACTTGTTTACCTATATAATAAAATGAGTTTGAGTTAGAGGAGCTGTTTTTTTATACGCCTAGTTGTGCAAGTGCTTTCAACACATTTATTTAAAATTAAAAACAGCCATACAATTGTGTACATATCGACAGTATTAAATTTACATACTGCTTGTGGCCTGCGATAGCCTATAGGCTCGGGCCTTTTGTAAATGTTTATCGTGTTTCCATTTTTTATAATTCATTAATTCTTTGCCATTCATAATTGTGTGGACCATTATGTTTTCGCCATATTCCAGTTGGGGTAGTAGCTGAAAATAAAATCATCATATTGCTCTCGTTATATTAAACATTGATTACAATTCAGATCAAAGAATGTACTTAATAAATCGCATAGCAGTGTGGACCTAGTCGAATGCGCATTTAATAGCGAACGGTGAAGGAAAACATCGTGAGGAAACCAGCTTGCCTTAGACCCAAAGAGTCGATGGTCTGTGTCAGACACAGGAGGCTGATCACCTACTTGCCATTAGATTGACAAATGATCGCGAAAAATACAAAAATCTGAGGCCCAAACCTAAAAAGGTGGTAGCGCCACTGATTTATTTTAATAAATCGCATGTTTCTTATTTTTATAATGTAATTAAAAAATTATAATTTATGGAAAATATCTAAGATCATCTAATAAAAAAAAACTGAAAATATTTTTTTCCATTGTAAGCAAAAAATACTTACTTTAGGCGTCAAAAGAAAATACTGTCCATTTTCGCACTCCGTGGTGACTTTGACAAGCAATTGGAACATTTTCCGCTCATTTATCGCGTCCATGCCTTGATTTATTTCATCCACACATCTATTAATAAAAACATAAAAACATTTAAAGTTGGTTTTATAGAGCCTTTAAACTTACAAATAAGCCATCAACTACATATATTGTAAAAAAAAGGGTGCGTGTACTTATGTACGCACGTAAGTTATACTTCTTTGGCGTTATTAAAAATAGTTTTTGATTGCATGCGAATAATAAATTACAATTAAATAATCAAAGACTGGAAAAGGAGTCATTATAGTCAATAAAGTTCAGTTTACATTTGAAAAATTAAATAAATAAATATTTATTTATTCTCTTACATTAAGTGTAACATTATTTCTTTTATTATTCGAATGTTGTTTTTAAATTATGTCCAATGCCGTAGCATCTTCCGAGGGCAACTTCATTCTGATAATTTTGTGTCACGGTGCGCGAGCATCGTAAAATTTCACTCTCATCAATTTTTCATAACGCGCCTAAAGAAGTATAACTTCAAAAAAAAAACAAGTCTCACAACTCAGTTCATCTACCGTAAAAAGTTGAGATTCATGTAATACCAAGTCGGTTAATTTATTAAGTCCCTACTTGAGGGACTTCCTTCAGTGTTAAGTTATTAAAAAAAACGACGGGTTGCACTCCGGGAGTGCCGGCAGAAGTGAAAACTTGAATATTAACGTTGTGCATTTTTGATATTTTGGAATGGTTATGGAATAATTTTGCACGAATTGCTTTAATTATAATCAGTATAAAAGTACTATCATTTATGTGGTAGAATACAATATTTATTTATTGCGCTATCGTACACAAACATGACAATTTATATTACATTAAATACGCCGCCCTATCCCTACTCATCGGCAAAGAAGACAGAGGGTGTATTGGTATGATATCTAAAGCTGGCGGCTTTAACACATTTACACTTTGTGCTTGTGTAGTGTCTGTGAATAAGTGGGAGGCGTGATGTCAAACTGAAATACAATCATAAATACATCATGAAAAGACTGCCCGTCTCTCTCGCGCTCGGTCAAGCTTATGCGTATAAAAGAGACAGTTATTGATTTTCTTTTGCTACTGTTTATGTTGATCTTTACTGTACATGTTGATCTTTTTTCAAACATTACCAGGGCAATCTCGTGAAATGGTGCACAATGTTTATAATTATTTTAAGCATCTTAATGAAAAAATGTAATTTTTAATTTGACATCAGATGCGACTGGGGTTTCTAAGAGGAGTATTGAAAGAATAGTTAGTGAAGTTAAAGTGAAGTGTGTTGAGCTAGATAGAGCTTATGTCGAAAAATGAAAAATTATTTACACAAACTACTCTTTTACGTTCTTGGTCGGGCTTAGAACTTTTGGATCCACCCTGGTATGCACATAATATTTATATGTATTTGATACATTTTTATTTATTTACAACCCACCCAACCTTACTAAAACCAGAGTAGACTAAAATATATAGCTTGGCAAAAAAGTCATATTTTTAAACATACTGTATAGTGAAATTGCATTAGTGTGAGTACTGTGAACGCGCCAGCTTTCGATAACCTATAGGCCGAGAGAAAAAGCCGGCGTAAAAAACTCTCGGTACTCTTTTTTTTCAGCACAACTCATCACAACCATATCACCCGATTTCAACCTATGGAACCTGTTTAAAAATAATTAATAAGTACCTACCTAAAAGGCACGGTCGTTAAAGCCTGCAGCGCCATAAGGTACAAGGCAGTACATAAGGCCCTTTCGCCACCACTCTGCGCGTGACGTGTTAATTGCTGCAATTGTTCATCCGCCCGGAATCGAATGTATATACCCACACCGTATTTGTCGTAGTCTTCCTGTAACAATGACAGTTTCTTACAGAACAGAAGTAGAAGAGCAATCCGGCAGTGCTCCAGTGCCTGAGTCTCAGTGTGCCTTAGGAGGCGACCGCCATTACTATTCGTGCATTGAAATACTAAACACGCCATATATTAACCTTTTTGATTGTCCGTTGACGCACATTTGATATGAGCGTCTAAGTGCGGAAATTGAGTTCACAATATATACATACACTAGCAGACCGGCCAAGCGTTGCTGTGGCTAAGATTTTTGTTATATTACTAGGAGAACACCAATCCACCATGCTTTTTTGGTGGTTATGCCATTAAATTGTAGCTTATGTGAAACGTTGGAACTATCAACACAGCGCCATCTGTTAGAATTGTGACTATCAAATAATAAACAAATATTTTGCAATAAAATAATATTGCGGGTATAAATTGAGATGTAAGCTATCCTATCTTTTAAGTTGGATCAAACTACACATGGTGTGCAAATTTGATTGATATCGGTTTGGTAGTTTAGGAGTCCATAGCGGACAAACAACGTGACACGTAATTTATATATATTAAGATTTATATATTTAGACAGAAGAGAAAGCTTGGCAACGGTCGGCACACTGATACATTGGTACAAGAACAATGAAATACTATTTGACATCGGTTAGCTTTGACCAAAACGCGTTCTTCGGAATGGAGGGACAAATGGAATGATGGGAGGGTACACGAAATTTAAATCGTTTTACATTGTCTATTAATGAACTGACAAAAAGTTATATTTTATTTTTACTGTTAAATGTCTGTAAATATATATGCGTTGCCGGCCTGTTGATTGCTATTTTAAAAAAATACATGTAATGGGGTTACATGAGAAAACTTTCTATTACCAAGATTATTATTAACAAGAATTTATTTACATTCATATTCATATATGATTGCTTAATTTTTTGTCACGAGTTGGAATGTTATAATATGTATATTTATACAGTTTTGCCCCGACATATTTATTATGAAATGGAGATGGACGGTTCATATGTTACGGAGCCCCCATTCAAAATGGAGCAAAATATTGACGGAATGGTACCTTAAAGACGTAAAACGAAGAAGATGCCGACAACGCAAGAGATGAGAGGACGAACTGAAACTAACAGCAGGCTACAACTGGAGAAGAGTCGCAAAGTATAGAGAATAGTGGAAAGAGTTAGAGGAGGCCTCTTCCAAGAGGTACACCGAACTCCGAGATATACTGTCGCAAAATATATCAAAGACTAGTAGACTCGGCCAAGCGTTGCTGTGGCTAAGATTTTTGTTATATTATATAGTAGTAAACTATTCAAGAGAAACGGCAGGAGAACACCAATCCACCAAGCTTTTTTGGTGGTTATGCCATTAAATTGTAGCTTATGTAAAACGTTGGTAATTATTTTGATAAGGATCAATACCTAGGTACGAATAAAGAGCCTTTTCTAACGGTGGTATTTTAATAAAAATTAAAGGACGCTTATTGTGCCGTAACTATAAAAGATAGAGACATGCTGTCACGACATTTTTTATAGATAGTGATGTGTCCTGAAAAATTGTTATACATCATTTTGTTCTATCATTAATAGTTTTCGCAGCGCACACGATTGATGGAAGTTTTTTGTTTATTTTTTTACACCTTGGGTTAGATTATTCAAGTTTTAGTAAGCATCCCTATTTTTTTTGAAAATGAAACATAGCCTATGTCACTCGGGAATAGTGTAGCTTGCCAACGGTGAAAGAATTTTTGAAATCGGTCCAGTAGTTTCGGAGCCTATTCATTTCAAACAAACAAAAAATCAAACCTTTCCTCTTTATAATATTAGTATAGATCACAGATCACAGAGTTTCGGCATAAAAAGACCATATAATTACTATAAGTAAAATATTAAAAACAACATATGATAAAAAATGTTTAGAATAAAAACTATATATACTCACATCAGCCCCAGTTTTGTCCAATTTAACTTCTCCGGCGCATCCCATTTTGGCGAACATCGATCCAAATGCACGGTCTATGTTACGCAGCAACGTTTCCAACGACGGCAGCCATTTTGATCTGAAACCCATACAATGCTGCGAATAATCCACGACCGCTAAAACGCTAATTTTGGCTCTAAAACGGCTATCATACCTTCATTTTCATTTTTTTTAAATTCATTTATATATTAATCTATTTAATAGACATAACATTTATTACTTACAAAACACACACACATGTTACGCAAAGCCACCTCGCCTAAATCGCAGCGTTGCATCGGCCCGACAAACATTCCACACGGCACCAATGGAGGCACGAGGCGCATGGTCAGCGGAATGTGTCGGTGACGTCAATCGCCCCGCACAATAGCGGATTCCATTTTTATTAGTTTCATAATTAGATCTAACATCGATCATTTAGCACTTATTTGTAATTTTAATTAATTGTAATTTCTTTTAAATATAGTTTTTTAAGTAAATTTGCATTTTTTTGCATCCCTCGGCTGCACCCTACGTAATTGGCGCAGTCGGTAGGATTTAGTTGAATTAGAGTCAGTGAATCGATCACGGGCAACGGCTAAATCGAACCTACAGGTGTGCAGCTAGTTGGAGTATCAAGCTATCGATACCGCAGAGAAATGCAAATGATTTGGTAAGTACCTAGATCTTACTAGAGTTGCTATTACCTTTCCTTATTTTATATTCCTTTGTGTAATTGTAATATTCCAAAAATTTCCATCCACGAGAATTACGGACCCCTAGGTTATATAATAGTAGTAGAAACTTGCAAATTGATGCGAATAGAAATTTAGAAAGTACTTTAGAAGATAGTTTTAATCTTAGTGATTTATTTAATTCGAACGAAGGTGATAATATAAGTAAAATGAGTGTCGAATTGGTGGATCAAGTTTACAAGGCTCTACGCCTATTACCTGAATTTGACGGGAACCCAAACGTACTTACGCGCTTCATACATTTGTGTGACCAGTTAGTAGCACAATACGTTAGAGCGGAACCGGGATTCGAACTTAGTAATCTATCGTTATTAAACGGGATTCTTAACAAAGTTACTGGTCATGCAGCGCGAACAATTAACTCAAACGGCCAGAAAACTGGCTAGGTATTAGAAATGCTCTAATAAATAATTTTTCTGATCAGCGTGATGAGACAGCTTTGTATAACGACTTGGCTCTCTTAACTCAAAGAGATAGCTCTCCTCAAGAGTTTTATGAAAAGTGCTAAAGTCTTTTCAGTACTATCATGACGTACGTTACATTGCACGAGGATATACTTACCACAATAGAAGCCAAGCGCACCCTGTATAAAAAACTAACCTTACAGGCTTATATTCGTGGCCTTAAAGAACCCCTAGGTTCACGTATTCGTTGTATGCGGCCTGAAAGTATAGAGAAAGCGTTAGAATTCGTTCATGAGGAAATGAACACTCTATACTTGCAGCAACGCAACGACCAGCTACCTGAGCGGAGAATGCAGTCGACGTCTTCATTAAATCCTTCTAATAATGTTAACAGACCTTTCAACTTGCCAGCTCCGCGACCCTTTACTTTCCCCCAATCGCTAAATTATATGCCAGGACCTTCTAGACCAATGTTTCAACCGCCAAGGCCAATGCAAATTTGGAAACCGCAGACGCCTTTTATTCGTGGCCCCACGCGAACACAACAAGTTTTCGGTGCACCACCACCTAATTATAGACCCCAAAGTAATGTGTTTAGAATGCCCCAACAGAGAGGTTTCCAAGCCTCGAACAACGGCCCTCAGCCTATGAGTGGTGTTAGCCACTTTGTTACTAAGCCCATACCTAGACCCCTGACAGGACATGACTGGACAAAGCAAGGCAATCCACCGCCCACTAATTATTTTAAATCCCGAGAGATGAATTTTAATGATACTGACCATTGTGATTATTACGTCTATAATGATTATAATAATGACTATTACGACTGTTATGAACCAACTTATGATGAACCTACATATCACCAAATGTATGAGCAGCAACAATTTAACCATAATGACTATATACCTGCTTATGTAGAGGAAACTCAAGATGAGGCTCCTACTGAAAATCAGGATTTTCAAACAACTCACAAATCAGACAGGCAAAAATAGAAATTAATTTACAAACACAAAGACAACTTCCTTACATACAGATTACAAATCCACCCTTAAAACTATTGGTTGATACAGGGGCGAATCAATCATTTATAAGCCCCGAGGCTGTAGAAAAATTCTATCCTAATACTCAGTGTAACTACGACCCTTTTGAGGTTACCAACATTCATGCGACCACTCGAAATGATTATTCCATAACTATACCATGTTTTCGCGAATTTAGTGAAGATTGTGATATAACTTTATTCATATATAAATTTCACAACTATTTCGATGGCTTAATTGGTCTAGACTTGCTGGAGAAACTGGAATCTAGCATTGATTTAAAAAACAAAGTCCTAGTTACACGGAGCTCTACCAACCCCCTGCGAATGTATGATTCACGGAACTGTAATCTTTATGAGGAAATAATACCGGCCAATACATCTAGAATAATTCGTGTTCCGATTAACTTTCATGACGGTGACGCATTTGTGACTGAACAGACAATATCTAATTCCACTATCCATGACTGTCTTACTAATGTAAAGAACAACCGAGGTTTTATTGAAATTACCAACCCGACTAAACATGATGTTGTATTTTCGATGGACCGACCAGTTAGCGCAGAACTATTTAATACCCAGTGCACGCGCACTCAACTACATACCGATCGCACATCCGAAGTACTTTCGCGATTACGTACGGACCATCTGAATCCTGAAGAACGAGCTAACTTAGAATCACTCTGTTCTCGATACGCTGACGTTTTCTATCTTGATGGCGAACCATTAACTTTCACCAATAAGATAAAGCATAGTATTCGTACTACAGACGAATTACCTGTTTATACTAAAAGCTACAGATACCCTTTCGTTCACAGACAGGAAGTTCAAGATCAAATCTCGAAAATGCTCGATCAGGGAATTATCCGTCCTTCTCAGTCAGCATGGAGTTCTCCCATATGGGTTGTCCCCAAGAAGGCTGACGCTTCTGGAAAAGTCAAATGGCGGATTGTCATCGATTTTAGGAAAATTAATGAAAAGACAATTGATGACAAATACCCAATACCTAACATCAATGACGTCTTAGACAAACTTGGTAACTGTCACTATTTTACTACTTTAGATCTTGCTAGTGGCTTTTATCAGGTGGAGATGAATCCAGACGATATACACAAGACGGCATTCAATGTAGAACATGGGCATTTCGAATTTTTAAGAATGCCCATGGGACTTAAGAATTCTCCATCCACGTTCCAACGTGTGATGGATAATGTGCTCAGAGATCTCCAAAACGTAATCTGTCTCGTCTACCTTGACGATATAATCGTGTTTAGCGTCTCTTTACAGGAGCACATGGTCAATTTAGAAAAAGTGTTCAATAGACTTAGGGAATCGAATTTCAAGATTCAGATGGATAAGTCAGAATTTCTGAAACTAGAGACCGCATACCTTGGCCATGTTATAAGTAAAGACGGAATTAAGCCTAATCCTGATAAAATCACCGCTATTCAGAAGTTCCCCATCCCTAAGACAGCTACCGAAATTAAACGTTTCCTTGGTTTGCTCGGATATTATAGAAAATTCATTCCAGACTTTGCACGAATTACAAAACCAATGACACAATGTTTAAAAAAAGGCTCCAAAATAACTTTAAATGACGCTAAATATATTGACTGTTTTGAAAGATGTAAAGTACTTTTGACAAATGACCCAATCCTTCAGTATCCTGACTTCACTAAAGATTTTGTACTGACGACAGACGCTTCGAACGTTGCAATAGGCGCTGTCCTTTCTCAAGGGCCAATAGGTAGTGACAAACCAATAGCTTACGCTTCGAGGACGCTAAATTCAAGCGAAACCAACTATAGCACTATCGAGAAGAAGCTGTTGGCTATCGTTTGGGCTACTAAATACTTTCGGCCATACCTATTTGGTAGAAAGTTTAAAATCATGACTGACCATAGACCACTACAGTGGGTTGGGTTATGAGCCTTAAAGAACCTGGTTCTAGACTCACACGTTGGAGACTGAAGTTGAGCGAATATAATTTTACCACCGTCTACAAACAGGGCAAACAAAACACCAATGCTGATGCCCTATCTCGCATTGAAATAAATCACGAGGATATCAGCTCTATAGCCGTTAATCCATCTATAAACCTTCCATCTGACGCAGGTTCAACGACTTTGACGGCTGTCACTAACGATGCTGAAATACCACCTGACCAAGACAACTCGACCACAGCAACCGCTCATACTAGTGCCGAAAGTCCGATTTTAGAAGTACCTATATCTGACGACCCACTCAACAGATTTAGTCGACAAATTTGTTTCGTTTTAGTAGGTGACATAAAAAAACGACCGACAGTGACAAAACCCTTCGAAACCCATACCAGAACGACTGTACAACTCTCTGAATCTAACTTGACCAATGACGTTATTAACGCAATTAAAGAATATGTTAACCCCAAGGTTAAAACCGGCATTATCATTCATCCCCCGCTCGCCATGTATAAGATTATCCCGATTATACAAGAGAATTTTAAAAGTTCAACTATGAATCTTGTTTTAACAAAAAATGAATTAGAAAACGTTAAAGAATATTTACGACAGCAGGAAATTATTAAAAAATACCACGAGGGTAAAACAAACCACCGTGGTATCACTGAATGTTATCTCTCTTTATCCTCAAGATATTACTGGCCTAAAATGAAAGAAAGCATCGCGAAATATATAAGTGAATGTAATATTTGCGGCCAGGCCAAATACGACCGAAATCCGATTAAACAGAGATTTTCAGTTGTACCTCCACCTTCAAAGCCTTTCCAAATAGTTCATCTTGATCTTTTTACAGCACAAAACGAAAAATACCTTACAATAGTAGATGCCTTTTCAAAGTATTCGCAAGCATATCACCTGAGAGATAGTACTGCTTTGAGTGTCGTACAAGCTTTCCTTGTATTCTGTACTCATCATGGCGTCCCTTTAACTATTGTCACCGATGGAGGCCCCGAATTTACAAATCAGATCTTCTCAGAATTTGCTCGAATTCACAAAATACAACATCACAAAATATTAGCTCATTCACCAAATGATAATGGTATAGTAGAGAGATTTCATTCCACTATCCTCGAACATCTTAGAATACTAAAGCTCGAGAAGCGAAATGAACCAGCAGTTAATCTAATGCCCTATGCAATTTTAGCCTATAATAGCTCGATTCATAGTTTTACTAAATGTAGACCTTTGGATTTGATAACTGGACACTTTGACCCACGTGACCCAATAGATATCGACCTATCAGAGCACTTACTCCAACAATATTCACAAGACCACAAGAAACGAATGAACCAAGTTTATGACATCATCAACGAAACTTCCTTACATGACAGGACACAATTGACTGAAAACCGAAACAAAGACAGAGAACCGGAAAAGGACTATACCCCTGACCAACAAGTTTTCATACGTAATCCCATGGCAGCCCGACAAAAATTAGCGCCACGCTATACGCAAGACACAGTGCTTGCGGATCTTCCCATTCATATCTATACAAAGAAGAAACGCGGTCCCGTTGCAAAATCACGCCTTAAGCGAAGCTCTAAACATCCCACATTGTTACAGGATACTACTATGGTTGACACTACAGCACACGACGCGAGGACAAGAAGTAACACTTGACTCACTTGACAATGGACCAGGCTTACTTCCTTTCAAATTAGGACCGACAAAGATTGTCTCGCATTACCATTCCTTTCTTAACTATATTGATTTAGAAAACATCCATCTTCAGATTGAATTAGTAAAATCCCAGATGTCTCAGCTAACACCATTACTAAACAATAAAACGTTTTCTCTATTTGATCCTCATTTGAAACATCTTAATAATAAAATTACTACAATTTCGAATAAACTTAGTATGTTTGAGTCAGCGCGTCATAAAAGAGGTCTCATCGACGGTTTAGGTTCGGTCATCAAAAGCATTTCTGGTAACCTAGATTACACTGACGCAATAAAATATGAACACGCGATAATTATCTTGCGCAACAATGAACATAAGTTAGAAACGGAAATTAACAGTCGTGTTAGTTTAAATAAAGATTACATTGCACAAAGTTCTAAAATTATAAACGATATAGTTAGTAATCAAGTTAAAATCAATAATACGTTGAATTTAATATTGCAAAGTGACACAAATTGGGAAACAGACTTGACTAAATATGCCCACATGGCACAACATCTCTTAATCTTAGGAGACAATATTGAAGAATTGTACGAAGAAATGCAGAGGTTAGAAAATACTTTATCTTTTATTCGTGCATCGAGCACTTCATATTCTATTTTTAGTTTAAATAACGTTAAAGATATGTTAGGTAAACTTAGGATTTTATACTCTAGTAATGAAGTCCTTGACGTAGAATTTAGACAGTTTTATGAAATAGTTAAATTAGGTTATTTTTACGTATCTAAGCAAGTAGTCATAGTTATAAAGGTCCCAATTATCGTTCCTTTATCATATGAACTTTATAAATTATCCCTTGTTCCTAACAAAAATCATGAAATCCTGATACCTACCCTACCTTATATAGCACTCTCTAGCCAAGACTCTCGGTACATAGAGACAGAATGTCCGAAGTTAAACTCACTATTTCTCTGCGAGGCCAAATTTAACTTCAAAATCCAGGAGAAGCCCGATTGCATACAACAACTCATTACTCACCAAGAAGTCCAGCCGACATGCAAACTGACTCCAGTAACTCTAACAACCGAAGCCCTGGAAGCTTTAGATGACAAGCACTACACAATGAGCTTTCCAGCACCAACTAAAGTGAAAATATCATGCGGCCAAGAACAATACCGGACCCTACAAGGGAGCTTCCTTGCAATTATTCCATTGAACTGCAACCTGAAGACGCCCGCATTCACTATCTCCAACAATAACGATCAAATAAAAGGACATGTCATAAGGATAACGGAAATGCCTCTGTATAACGAGCCGAGGCCCAAAGAACATCCAAAGCTTATCCTCAATTCACTTAATCTGCAAAAACTCCACTCCTTGGATACAGAAGTAGCAGCTGAACCATCCATCCATCTCGATGACGTAACTGATCCAGCTATATATCACACAACTATCCCCATCTACTTAATACTACTCTGTGCAGGCGCATTCATCGCTGCGCTGTACTGCTACACCAGAGGATCGACAAAAGGCAATGAAACTGCAGGAGCCCCTACCAGTGATCCTGAAATATTGATCGCAACCACAACACCTCGGGGCATTAACCCTAACCAAGTGAAGATGGACCACAGATGCATCTCAGCGACCATCTCGGACGAGTCCTGCAATAGTCGCTGTTCTTCGGGGGAGGTGTTACGCAAAGCCACCTCGCCTAAATCGCAGCGTTGCATCGGCCCGACAAACATTCCACACGGCACCAATGGAGGCACGAGGCGCATGGTCAGCGGAATGTGTCGGTGACGTCAATCGCCCCGCACAATAGCGGATTCCATTTTTATTAGTTTCATAATTAGATCTAACATCGATCATTTAGCACTTATTTGTAATTTTAATTAATTGTAATTTCTTTTAAATATAGTTTTTTAAGTAAATTTGCATTTTTTTGCATCCCTCGGCTGCACCCTACGTAATTCACACAGAAACACACAAAATAACAATAATAAAAAAGAATTTTTAGGCTTTACTGGAACTTACTTGAGTTTATTCATTTTGTCTTCTAACTGTTTGTTCTTATCCGATGAGTTTGTGATATCAGACTGAAGTTTTGCAATAGTCCTTTCCCGTGTTTTGTATTCTTTTAGTACCTGAAGAAATCAAAATCGTAAAAATAACGTGAAATTTAGCATAGTAAGAAAATTTACGTTTGCAAAAGTGAAACAAAAATTTTATTAAAACCGCTGAAGCAGTTTTGATAAAATTTTGGTCAAATTTTAAGTCAAAACAACTATACTAATGTTTTAAATAATTTGTTTTTTGTATGTTTGCATTGAAAAACCACTGGAACAATTTCAAAAATTCATCTAGAATATTCTACATACAATTAATGTATGTAAATATTAATATCGTTTATTTTTTCTGAATTAAATACCTGTTCATCACTAGTATGCATACAATCTATCCGTGTCTGCAAATCAAAGCAGTGTTCCTGTAGAGCTGTCAAATCAGAGGGTAGTTTCTCAAAATCGTCTTTATAAGGAAAATCTGGGTCTGTGGGTAGTTTGTTATTGCAGGAACGTTTTGCTGCTGATAGTTTTTCTTTTGCTTTTGAGACGGCACAGGTTAAGCAGTTTTGTACGTTTTCGAGAGTTACCTAAAAGATTTAAAATTCCAAAATAAATTTGAATCAGAATACGTAAATACTATCGCTGTCTCGACTGGGAATCTCACTTCAAAAAATAGCCAAAAATATATTTTCCATAAAAAACTGTATCTTACTTGAACATTTCGTAATTCACTCTTCAGTTCTCTCAATTCCGATTCATGCTGTATTATAGCACTTCTGCTTAGGTTCAGTTTTATCTATAAAAATATTTATTCAAATTAAAATCATACTAAAAAGACTTTTATATAGGTAACATAAACGTCCAAATCATGGAGTTTACATTCTTCTTAAATAAAGGACAAAGTAAGAATACAATTACAAAGAATAGCAAAGCATGGAAGAGCTTTTGGGCGCGTAAACAAGTCATGAAAAATAAGAAAGTAGAATGTTTGATAGGGAAGAAAAGAATAGACAAACTAAAGAATACAGCTTTAAGAAAAACAACTAAGGTAACAGATGTTACAATAAAAATAAATAAACTAAAGTGGAAATAGGCGGGGCACATGGCAAGAGGAACAGAAAATACTAAACTGGTGCCCAAGGTACAGCACACGAAACAGAGGAAGACAAAGTAGAAGGTAATTTAAAAGGCAAGAGACCAAATTAAGGAAACAGCAGGTGGTACATGGCAGAGAGTGGCACATTGCAGAGAGGAATGGCGGGATTTAGAGGCCTTTGCCAACAAAGGCCACACAGATACACAAAAGAAGATTGAATAAACACGTGTTTAAATGTATCTGAATTAAAGGTTATTAAAAAAAATACAATTAGGCATTTCAATAGCCGATATACTTAATGCGCTGTTCACATGGCTGTAATATATTTGCTTTGAAAATAAAAATTGTAGGTAATGGTGATATTTAAAATCGGGGACTACTAGTTTTGAATTTATTCAATACAAATGTACATATTCACTTTATCAACCAAAGGACGTGGTAATCAATTCGACGAGGTAATTACTTTTCTTACGATTATCTCAGGAAAAAAGTTGAAAATTTCTAAAGCACTTTATGGAAAACCATTGATTCATAGCTTGAAACTTGTCGTAACCGTGTCCTTCCCGTGCTTAGACATCCAGGGCTTATGTATGATATGTTTCGATTTTGTAATAATGTAGGTTTACAGTGTAGAAACAGCGATTAAGCAAGGTTCTAGCGATTAATAAACTTTGCAATAAGGAATTAGTGGAAAAAGTTGTGTCTAGATCGAATCGTATTTAAAAAAATTGATCGAATCGTATTATTGGATCCCAGGTGTTTGACAATTTTAGGCCGTCTTCTCTATTGAAATCGTCGGTTAAATTTAAAATTATGTTAAATAATTGTAAATTTATAATAATACATAACTTTAATCCGGTTATAAAGTTTTTTCTTTGAATTGAACCTAGTTTTGTTTTGAATGTATCGTAATATAAGACTCAATTAATGCAATCGGAAGTAAACAAATTTCCTCTAAATCAGTCTCAACATAAAAAGCAGGCACACATTAACCGTTTTGAAAAACTTACCCCAACCAATTCCTTTTCTAGCATCTTATTCTGCAATTCCTTTAAAAGGTCTTTCAATTGCGAGTGAAGATGACATTGCTTAAGTACACTCTCCTTTTGTCTCTTCTGACAGTTCTCTTTCTCCAACTCTATGTTAAGGGAAGATTCATTTTGTATTTCCTCCATTCTCTTCGTTTGTAAACGTATTTGTGCACTTAGTGTTCGTATCTAGAAACAGTAAACGGATAAAACAAGAGTCTCCTCCAAATTTTCTTCTCTTCGCAGTAGACTCTTGGGGCCGTGGGGTTCAAGTGCAAAGGCGCTATGAAAGATTTACTACCGGTGTCCCGAGAGCTGGTGCTTTCTTCGCTCAACGAATAAGCAACACAGCCAGAAAAAAAAGCAACGAAAAAATCCAGAATTAAAGGTACATTGCCACAGGGACCAAACGTTTAGAATATTGTAAATACTCTACATTTGTGTTATGAATACATCGATAAGCAGCTATCGAAGTAAAACTTCTTTAGGAGCATGAAGGTAATTTTTAACAGATGAAACGTCACGAAGATGTGCAGCGTTTTTGTCGAAGGAAAGGGAGAGAGCGATTGAGAGAATTACCTTATAGAAATTCTATTCTTAAAATTTCGTAATTTCGTAGTTTTCGACACTTAATATTTTAATGACAATTAAATTCATGAAATTCCTAACATGTCTTCCTTTTCTCCTGCCTCTAAGTCTCGAAAATCTAGTTTTAGATTTGTATAAATATGAACAAGAGTTAAAAATTAGTTTGCCAAAGAAGTTTCACTTCTGACATGTGTACTTTGTACGCACGCACTTTTTTTTAAAATAAAACAAGTAGAAAATATATAGTATGTATTATAAATCAAAAAACCCAAGATGCACAATCAACGTCTAAAAAACGTCCTCAAAAAATGAGCGCAACATTCTAAATTGTGCGCTCATTTCAAATAGTCTCGCGTCTAATAAGTGGAGTCGATGTTATTTATTTCTGTTTTTTTTATAAATAAATTTATGTACTTTTGAACTTTTTGTGTGTAGTTTTTGACAAATATATTTACGCTATATAAAGTGTAGGTCAGGAGGTAGCCAATTTAACATTTTTTTAATTTAAAGAAAAAACGTTTAAAGTTTAAAGTTATGTATTATTATAAATTTACAACTATTTAACATCCAACACCTTTTGTCTTCAGTCACCGTGACCACGCACGCTGTAAAGCACGCGAAACGTCGGATAAATTTAAAATTATGTTAAATAGTTGTAAATAAAAAAGTCATGTTCGACTCCACTCAATACCTTGTCCTACCGACCACGGTCGGTCGTAAAATTTTATTGCTTTAAGTACGTATACACTGCGTTGTAATAACAACTTTAAGCAATTCGCGTAAGGTTGATTTTGCAATAATATATGCTTGTAACATATACTGTTATGGACAGAAATAGTGTTTCGGGACACTTTCGAGCGTTACTTTTATTCGAGACTGTGCATCTTGGGTTTTTTGTATATCAATGAGTATGTATTATAAATCAAATGTCATGACGTTGCTTTATGGGTCTGAAGATTTAAGATATCATGAAATAAAAAATACCTTTTCTATGCTCTCATTGATATTCTTCCTGTCCATATTAAAATTGTTCAAAGTGACCTCTAGCGGCGAAAGTTGGTTGTTAAATTCCTGCAACTTCGATTTATGTGAAGTTGCTGTTTTTTCAAAGTTTGCTAACCTGTGGCAAATTTGAAATGTTAACATACCTAACAGTTGGTATTACTGACGTAAAGATATCACAAGGTTAAATACATGTTTTGCTTATGAGCTAAACATAAAAACAGACAACATATAATCTACACTATAACATATACATATATGCCTAACATATATAGCTTAACTGTTTGATTCTACGTAATGCGTGCACGTGTACGTAATATTTAAAGATGAAGTAAAGTCAAAATTAAAAATACAAAGATACCTTAGCAATACATATAACAGATATAATATGAAAAACGTAGTAAGAAAATTATCATGCTTTACACAAAGAAGAGCACAGAAGATTGATCACGGACATGCCTATTAAGAACATCATTAAGGTATTGGCGCCACTGTTTTAAATTTCGTATTTAAGTATTTATTTATAATTCATCCAAAAAACACTGCGTAGAGCTTCAATAAATTAAATTTTGATCTAGACAATTTTTGAAGTTATACTTCTTTAGGCGCGTCATTAAAAATTGATGAGAGTGAAATTTTACGATGCGCGCGCACCGTGACACGAAATTAACAGAATGAAGTTGCCCACGGAAGATGCTACGGCATTGGACATAATTTAAAAACGACATTCGAATAATAATAGAATTTATGTTACACTTAATGTAAGAGAATAATAATAAATATTTCAAATGTAAACTGAACTTTATTGACTATAATGACTCCTTTTCCAGTCTTTGATTATTTAATTGTAATTAATTATTTGCATGCAATCAAACACTATTTTTAATAATGCCAAAGAAGTATAACTTCTTACGCGCGTACATAAGTACACGCACCCTTTTTTTCTATAAGCTTTTAAATAAAATATTACCGAAACAAATAATATCAAAATAAGGTAAAATACACACTGCTTCTTAAATTTATTAATCTGTTCGACGTCCACAGTTTTGGCGAGTAGACGAGGTGGGTTTATTTCAGTGATAGAACTGGATTTTGCGCCACTGTATTCCGATACGCGCACTGAGAATCTGTGGTTTTCTAAAAAAAATTATTAAGAAATTTTAGTCTATGTGTGCTTCGATTCAGCTGTCATAGAGCTGTAAAGTCGGTTTACGGACGATAGTTTAACGTGACAACGTCATAACAAAACATTGCATACTTTTATGAATATTAAATTATCACTATTTTGTATGAATACAAAGGAGTGAATGCTCGGACGCATAGGCCAATCGAGTGGAAGAGAGATAGATGTGGCGCAAGCGTACAATAAGCGTAACGGGACAATGAGTCATGCTTTTTCGTGCATGTAGCGGATGTTCATCGATTTATTAGACGTTGTTACGTCAAAAGTACAAAGTCATTTACTTTTAATCACTTTTATAGGGACCACTTGAACTCGTCACATAACTTGAAGTTCTATATTATTTATCTTCTGTGCGTGTTTGTAAATAAGCTCGATACTGGACAGATTATGATGAAATTTTGAATGTGGATACAGGACGTCTGTCACCAGCTGGTCTTTATTTATATAATTCTACCGTACGTGTGTATGTCACTGAACTCTTCTTAAACGACTGGACCGATTAGAATGATATTTTTGTATGCGTTTGGGTGGCGCCCTGGATGGTTTAGATTCACAAATCAGCCCGGCGGATGGCGCTGCACTCGGTATCGAGATTATTTATCTATACAGCAAATAAACAGCTGGTATAAATATAAATCTTCTGTGCATGTGTTCGTCAACAAACTCCTAAACGGGTGGGTAGATTTTGATGAAATTTTTTGTGTAATCAAGAGGAGTCAAGAATGATTTGCATTTTTTTTTGTGTATGTAAGACGTGTGTACAGAACGTCTGTCGGATCCGCTACTATAGTATAAAATCATGTTAAATCATCAATATTTGTGTTATATATTTCACGATAGATTAAAGAACGCTGTTTATAGACTAGTCTAATTTATCCTACCTGTAAAATAAAAGGTGATATTTGCGGGCACATTCCCGCTATTATTAAAAGTGTGCTCGTCGCCAATAGGTATTTTGTGAATCGAGTAATTTCTACACAAATAACGGACAATCGCGTCTGGAGCTGATATTGTATCCAACATGTAGGTGTAGAAGCCGAGGTAGCTGGAACAAATCAATAAAAAATTTAAGTTGTTTAAAGTCTAGACTTAGATTTCCGTATCTCTTAGCGATTCTGATGGATTCCCATATGAAACGTATTGATTTTAACGTGACGTTTTCGAGAAATTTCTGGACAGTCATACCTACAAAACACACGTGTTTGGTAGTCTATGTCCGAAAGGAAGCCCGTATTTTAGAACGTATATTTAATAAGTATATAGAGCTGTCAAACTATTTTTTACATTTGACAATTGACAGCGATCGACTGGAGATTGTGACTTGAGCGTCGTGTTTTATTTTATATCATTATTTTGCAAAAACTTGGGTGTTTTAAGCATTTCCACCCAAAAATAATGCGAAGAAAGCCAATCATTGAAAAAACAAACAAAATTAAGTAATAAGTCAGACAGTAAAATCTCACCTCAGTGCGGAAATATCCTGCCTCTGCAAGTTAAGGGTAGCGGGTTCGCTGCATACCGCGTTCACCATCTTCAAATTCATCTCTCTCATGTTTCTCATAAACAAATTCATCTCTTGGCTGGATTCGAAAGTAAATGCGATGAGGTCCCGTGAATCAACCGTCGCTTCTAGGTAACGTGCGAACTTTGGGTCTGTGAAATTTATCTAAAAAAAAACTTTAAGATTAAATAGATAGCCGTTGTATTACAGGTTTATTTATAAGTAATCTTACAGCTATACATATCCATATTATAAAAGAAAACACTTAGACAAAACAGATGACATTGATAAACACAATATACGATCGGAAAACATAAATCAATGTACTTAACATGAATGGATGAGAATAAAAGTTTAATAAAAAAATTGTTCATATATTGTATTAGAGTTAGCAAAAACTTGAAACATTAAGAATTACGCAGATAATTCAAGTTCGTACGAAGAAAAACATCGTGAGGAAACCGGCTTGCCTTAGACCCAAAAAGTCGACGGCGTGTGTTACGCACTGGAGGCTGATCACCTACTTGCCTATTAGATTGACAAATGATCATGAAACAGATTCAGAAATCTGAAACCTAGACCTAAAAAAGTTGCAGCGCCCCTGATTTTATTTTTTATAATACACAGAAATGTCTCGAAAACGACTCTAATGAGTTTAGATAGGTACTCTAAGATTTCAAAGGCAAAAATTGTGCGTAAAAAATGGGATGTGACCGTACACGGCCGTGTGTTATACGTTTAAGTACGTATAATATTTTTGATACACAATTTATTGATGTATGAAGTATAGGAGCAAGATTTTGACAATACATAGTTGACTAATACTTAAGTGGCCTCTTCGAGTCATAATTGCAAACTCGGGACACACCAACAAAATGGCGGCGTTTCTCCAACACTCGTGTCACTGTTCTCGTTCAATGAATTCTTTGTCCTTTAGCTAGCCTATTTAATTTTGGTTCTAGAGGATAGATTCGTAACAAGGTCTCACTATCCCCCGATTTTGTTTTTAGGTTTTTGGATTGGCCACATTGCAAATTTAAAGACTAACGTGTTTTTTCTATGTACATTTTTTTATAGAGCATGGACACTCTATGCCATAAGGCCTCGTGCGTTGCCGGCCTTTTAAGATTTGGTACGCTCTGTTCCCTTAGTCGAATTGGTACGGAAATACTTCAGTGGTCAGTTCTACATAGTGGTGGAACGGCGGACGTCGAGGTGATACGAACCTTACATTTTCTTCACCTACTTGTGAGGTCACACAGGTACAGGAAGGTCAGAACTAATTGAGAAAATGAATTAAATAATGAAGGAATACCTCGAGCATCATAGGTTCATAGACTCCGTGCTTGAATAAATGTCGATTGGCTCTGAGCCACATGACTGCCTTGTACGCATCTTTGGTTCGGTCACTTTCGCGTAGACTCTCTAGGCGGGTCTTATTTACGTCTTGTAAATTATTTATTCTAGAAAAAAATTTTTTTTTAATATATGGGAATAACTTGAAGTTCTAACGATATAAATCTGCTCCAAACGGCTGGAACGATTTTGATGAATTTGGTGTGTTCAAGTGGATTCCAGAATGATTTGCATTTACAATTAGATCATTTTTGTAAACGCGTGTGTGTCACCCTCTAGTATAGTAAAAATATTTTACGATGGATTGGCAAAACTTTGTTTCAAAGACTTAGGGAGCGTTCAAGTATTACGTAACGAATTGGGGGGTCCTTTTGTAAAACGTTACGATGCGGGGCGGAGATTGAATTACGCGTTATTGTTAATATTATTTTCGACTTTCCAGTACTTTACACCACATAATGGTAACTTTTAGGTGTAAAGAGTCACTGGGTGGCCACGAAACATTTTACTATTGGGTACAGAAAAACGTCACTTCGCGTTACATGGGGGGGAGGTTCAATAATCTCCAAAAATTGCGTGACGTAAAACTTGAACGCTCCCTTAGACACAATAGCAAGTTTGATTCAAAAAGTCCAAGAGAGAACATTTTTCTTGCGTAATTACAAAATTTGTGGTTAAAAATTAAAAAAAAAAGGTGCTGGAGACTCACCAGACTAAACTTTTATGGAATTAAACCCAGTTGATTTTCATTAATGTTAATTATGACAAAACACGTAACAATATTAGGTAACCTAATATTGAACGTAGGGCGACCGTAGCTTGGCCCGAATGGGTGTTTTCCTGCGACTAGCGCAAGTCAACCGCTTGAAGGGCAGGATGCATCGCTCACTGGAGTGTGCAAAGTACGATTTAAAGGTTCACGCCTTTCTGGTAAGGTGGTTTTTAACCCTAATCTGATGCCAGGAGCTTGGTGTGACTTCTAATGATATGCCTGTTTCTATGTGTGCGTTGCGTGTACGCGTCTTGGTTTAAGTGTGCTATTGTTGACAACTTTGAATGTATATAAATAAAATAAAATGTACCGACGTTTCGTGTGGTATTGTATAAATAAATTGTGTAAATAAATCAATCTAAATCGTTTTAATTCAGGCATTTCAAATACCTACCTACCTAAATATATCTATATGATAATTATGAAAGTACGAAGTACCTGTTCTGATACAATCTCATTTGGGGTACAATATTATTTTCATAATCGAACTCTACTTCTAATTTCTTCTTCTTTAAAGTCTCAATTGTTGCATTCGCTGTCGCTATAGATTTATGAATTTCAGCCAATTTCATTTTTATACTTGTTTCTGAAATAAAACGAATTAATAAACAAATATGGCAACCCTTCAGTGCGAAGTGCGTTCCATCAAATGTCATTTGACAGTTTAACTTCCATAGATAATGCGTATGTTACGGTTCAAAATCTAGTGACGTTTGAAATACTTATACTTTAACGGTGACATACTATACATGTATATGACATACTATAGACTGAACAACCACAGAGAGTAGATTTAAAAAAAAAACAGACAGAGTATTTCCGGACCAAAACGACTTAGGGTCCTTCAAGAAAACAGCGTACCAATTCTTAAAATGCCGGCAACGCGCTTGCGAGCCTTCTGGTAATGTGAGTGTCCATGGGCGGCAGTATCACTTAACACAAGGTGAGCCTCCTGACCCTTCGCTCTCAATTAGCCGCGTACTGACTGAGCGAGCAGCCTCGCGAAGCAGCCTCGGACGTTTGCTTCGCAACGTTTGCCGCGCGGAGGCAGCCTCGGTCTGTAAGTTTTCTAATCCGAGGCTGCCTCGCGCGGCAAGTCCGAGCCATCGTGAGCATCGACGCTCAGTTTAACTTGAAGTCGAATAGAGACCGCGCGTGCCCGTATAGTTTGCCCGAGACCACCATGAGGCCGCACATTCGGAAAGCTGTCGCTACCACTGCCTTTTTAATAATTCTAAGGCTTGCAAAAAAAAGAAAACAGAAAACTAAACGTTTTTGGATTAAACTCTTATACAAAAATAGATTACAGGCTGGGAACAGATTATTTGAAGAGTTGTGCTTCGATGACGAAGAAAAAAATTTCACTCGAATGAGTAAAATCGAATTTGACAATGTGTATTCTCTCATAAACGCCAAAATAAGCAAGAAGGACACAAATTTTCGAGAAGCAATATCCGCTAGGGAAAGATTATTAGTGACGTTGAGATTTTTGGCCACAGGAGATTCTTATACCAGTCTACAGTATCTATTTCGTATATCAAAACAAAGGATATCGGTTATAGTTCCTGAAGTCTGTGATGCTATAATTGAGGTGTTAAAGGATTATGTTAAGGTAAAATAAAATTACATATTTTTATTATTTTTTTATTAATCTGATTAGAAAATTGGACAAATAATATAAGAAAATTAAACAAACAAATATTTAATGATGAGGAGCTGGAGAAGGAGGAGGGGGAGGCATCGAAATTGGTGAGATAGGAGGCATTGGTGAGGCAGCAGGCATCGGTGAAGTAGAAGGCATCGATGAGGCAGGAGGCATCGGTGAAGTAGGAGGCATCGGTGAAGTAGGAGGATTAGTCTTCCCTTAGTCCTCTATTTGTGTAATCAGGACATTGCGCATCCCAAAGTCGTCTATATTCACCATATAGTCGTATTAATTTAAGACACTGTTCTTTATCCATGACGCACAACTAACACGCAACGAATAAGCGAGGCAAAACACTACCGTCTTGAGTGAGCGCGGCAAACGTACTGAGGCGCCTTTGAACATCGACAAAAACCGACAACGTTCGGCTCGGGCCGCGGCACGCTCGGGCGAGGCAGCGCGTGCGTTTGCCTCGGGCGAGGCACGTCTTGACCGACCGAGGATTTGCCTCGCGAGGCAGCCTCGCGAGGCTGCTCGCTCAGTCAGTACGCGGCTATTACATAAAAAAATACAGTAGTTAAAAATTATTAAACAAATATAAATAAAATAATTTAATTAATTTTTTTTATAATATTGTCTTTTATTATAATAATACATAATTGTTTACTTTATGTCTTTTATTATAGTAATACATAACTTCAATCCGGTAAAAAAGAGTTTTATTTATTTTTTTATTTTTATCCAACCTAAGTGCAAAGTGACGTCAACAATAAAATAAAGTTGACTTTAGCAACATGTAGGTTATTATTAATACCAACGCGTTTGACCTGAAATTATTAAAAAAAACTTTCAAATTCATATTAGACTTACCATCTCCGACATGTTCAGCAGCGAGTCTTTTATCATCAACCAGTTTGTCCAGCTTAACTTTAGCCACGGCCAACTCTCTCTTTCTATTTCGATGCCGTTCCAACTTCTCTTGGAAGGCCGAGTCTATCTCTTTCAGGACATATTCTAGCGAATTAACGCTGCTTAATGTCTCTTTTACTTTGTCTGTTAACGAATGGATTTCTCTTCCCTAAAAAATATATAAACTTTTTTAAGCTTTCTGATTAAAATAATTTAGGAAGATTTATAAAACACGAATTGGCAATCTTACGCATCATAAGTAGTCAAAATGAGATGTATAATTATGTAATTAGTGCTTTGTTTCATGTTCCTCACATCAACACTAAGCTTTTTTTTTAAATGTAATAGGAGGCAAACGGGCAGGAGGCTCACCTGATGTTAAGCGATACCGCCGCCCATGGACACTCACAATGCCAGCAGGGCTCGCAAGTGCGTTGTCGGCCTTTCAAGAATTGGTACGCTCTTTTCTTGAAGGACCCTAAGTCGAATTGGTTCGAAAATACCTCAGTGGGCAGCTGGTTCCACATAGTGGTGGTGCGCGGCAAAAACTGCCTTAGAAAACGCTCAGTTGTGGAACGACGAACGTCGAGGTGATACGGATGGTATTTTGTATTTTGCCTTGACGTCCGATGATGAAACTCAGCTGCAGGTATTAGACCGAACAACTCCTCTGAACACTCTCCATGGTAAATGCGGTAGAAGATGCAGAGAGACCCCACATTTCTACGCAACGCCAAGGGATCAAGCCGCACGGAAAGTGACTGGTCGTGGACGATTCAGTATGCAACAAACTCAGTTTTGTATCGCGCAACCCGTCCGAACAATATTTAAGCCTCGACTTGTTTAAGCGGAATATGGTTAAAATGAGTATTAAGAATATCCACAACGCAAAATCACCTGCATCATGAGCACACCCCACATACACACATTCACGAACATACCCTCACACCATCACACATAACAGCCAAATTAGGTATTACCTAAGCATATTAAATAATTTTTATTGCTTTTGTTATTTTGTAAATGTTATGTATTCAATCTTTAGCTATACTTTATAGTGCAATTGTTTGTTTTTTTGTTAGCTGTAGGATTACGAAATAAATCTTAATATATATAAATTACGTGTCACATTGTTTGTCCGCTATGGACTCCTAAACTACCGAACCGATATCAATCAAATTTGCACACCGTGTGCAGTTTGATCCAACTTAAAAGATAGGATAGCTTACATCTCAATTTATACCCGCAGTATTATTTTATTGCAAAATATTTGTTTATTATTTGATAGTCACAATTCTAACAGATGGCGCTGTGTTGATAGTTCCAACGTTTCACATAAGCTACAATTTAATGGCATAACCACCAAAAAAGCATGGTGGATTGGTGTTCTCCTGCCGTTTCTCTTGAAAAGTTTACTACTATGTAATATAACAAAAATCTTAGCCACAGCAACGCTTGGCCGAGTCTACTACTAAATATATATCGTAAAAAAATTCCTTGGCAAAATTATTTATATCAACTGGTACCAGTATATGGTTTCTTTGCTTTATGATCTTATTTTTCGAAAAATGATCTACTATATGCAACTTTACAGAAATTCGTTAAATTAGATAAAGTTTAACAAAAGGCTTTTATTATCATAGACATGAGTACAAATATTTCATTTTACCTTATTACTACGAAGATTATTATAGAATTTCATTAATTGTAATAGAATTATTACTATCATTGAAAAACGTGACGATTTGCTACAAAATTTCTCCCATACGTCGATAAAGAAGTTTCATTCCAACGCCGATAAAGAAGTTTGACTTCAAAAAGCAACATGGCGCGTAACCGAAAAATGTGACGCGTAACGAAAAAATGTTACACTAAATTTTTTTCCAACCTCGATAAAGAAGTTTCACTTCAAAAATAAACTAACTTCACATATCTATAAATGTTATCCAACCTAGAAATGCGTGTTCCCAGAGCCCAAAATTGCGATCATTAGGGATTTAACGAAACTTGGAATGAAGTTAAATAATGTTTGGACAAATAACTACTATACTAAGAAAAACATACATTGATTATGTTCAAATATGATGAAATTAAAAAAAATATTACAAACAGGTCAAAATTATACCTTGTAATAATAAATTTCGTTGAGGAAATAAAGTATCTTTATCTGATAACCGAACATTTTGATGTTACAAAATATTGTGGACAATCACACACATAAGATCATTGTACTTAACTATAATTCAACTAAAACTATGGCAATCTAGTAAACTTTGTTTTTAAAGTTGGTAGACTAGTCTTTACAAAGAATATTATAACACATTAAAAGCTTACCGCACTAAGTTTCTGCTGTTCCAATGTGCTAATTTTGCTTTTTGCATTTCCTAAAACTTTCTCCAATGGCGCCATTTTTTTTGTATGTGTGTCCACCAATTTTACGGCCTCCTTCTTATCTTGGCTGTATTCATTTACTTTTGTTTTAAGTTCATGGTATTCAATCCAAAGTTTCTTTTTTTCGCATAATTCAATATGTCTCTCAATATCTTTTCTTTGATTTAATGTGTCAATTATCACTTTTATTCTGTAAATATATTTGTTATCTTAAATAATTGAATTAAATATTTTCATTACCTTTTATTACTTACGAAAGGAATATTATAAACTATTTAAAAGCTATCAATTTGGCATTAAATATTAGACACAAAAATCTACACAATTAGTTACACATAATTATGAATTAATAAAGTAACAGAGTTAAAAAATATAAAGCAGTCTCTTCAGGAACTTCTAACAGAAGGAAGCCATTATATAAAACATTTGGGAGGAAGTGAAAAAGTTGTTATATGAAATGGAACAATGTACGTATAGAAACATTTAATTAAATCTCAATAAAATATAATAACTAGCTTTCACTTAAATGGATTTCATGTGTTTTGGTAAAATTGTTTGGGATGTCTTTAACATTATATCAATGAATTTATATGAAACCTTAAATCATGCTATCCATTAATGACCCCCTACTTAAGTATATTTTTGAGCGAATTGTGTTCATACTTATAGCGACTTACACTCAGTTTATTGTTATTTATTGCATTTTAAACATAATTTCAAAATGGTACCTCTCATTCAATCGAATCTGTTCCTGTAACAATTGTGCATTATTCTCCTGTGTGGTGGAAAGGTTACGTTGTTCATTTCTTGTTTCTATTAGTTCATCTAATTGGTCTACACTTTCATTCCCTCCAACAGCAGATAATGTACTGCGAAGTAGTTGCTGTGGATTCATTTTGGAAAAATCCTGGACTCTGTCTTGAGGTAATAGTTGACATAAGTTATCCACCTGAAAATAGACAATTGGTTGAAAAAAAAACTTTTTAAGTTATGAGAATAAATTTTCTCATAATTTTTAAATAATTTAAACATTAAATTATATTAAATTGCTAAGGTTAAAAAATAGTTAGTTAATATAAAATAAGTTAAGATTGCTTTACAAAAATAAATGATAACCTGTATTTGGTCCTAACTCCTATTCCACACTTCATCATAATTTGAAACTTAAAACACATGGAATTTGTATTTAATGTAGCCGTAATATTTAGTTAATGTAGTATCCAAATTTGATAAAAACTGGATTTTGGATAGTACATTGACTAAATATTATGGCTACATTAAATAAAAATTCCATGTGTTTTAAGTTTCAAATTAATCAGTTGGTAAAGTGACGGATTTGATAGAAGCATGTGATTTTTATAGGAAACTGTGTAATTTAATGTTATATTTTTTATTTCGTTTCAAAATAAACCCTTTTGTTTGCTTGTATGCCAATTTTCATTATAACAGAATATGAATTAAAATAGTTATGACAAAAACTAACATGATTATACTATTTTGAAATGGCTGCTCTGTAAAGTTTACTATTTGTCAGGTCTGTCACTATTCTATGACTATGACGACTTAATCTAAATAAATTTACAAGTAAAATAAGCAAACAAACAAAATTCTTTATTTGTTTGTATATAATACAATTCAGATTGAGGCCTCCCTAGTAAGTAAGAGACCTGAAGCAGGGAAGCCTCGCTCTTCTTTAAATTTACAAAGTTACAACAAAATAACACAATTGGTTTTAAGATGTGGGTACTGTAATGAAAGAAAAAATAAAATATATATATGATGACTGTGTGATGATGATATGAATGTGTAATTGTGTGTGTGATAGGTGAAACAAATACATGTGAAAGTGTTCATGAAGAAGATGGATTAAGGAAAAACCTATAATGTAGGATTCAACAGAGATTCCGTTTTGTCACATTGTGGTATGCAAGATTATGCAAGCCAAGAGTTTTATTTAAACTATTATAGTTAAAGAGATAGGCTGAGCAACTACTGAATTGATTACTTGCAAACTAGCAAAAATTACCTGTATACTAAGTGATGTAATAAGGTCTTGAACTTGGTTCTCTCTTGCAGTTTTATGATTGATATACCACATGGAGGTATCTTTTAGATTGAAATTTCTAGTAATAATAACATTTTGTTTCCCAGGTTGTTGGTATAGTTCTATTTCTATGGTAGCCTCTTCACAGCCTCCACGAACATACTCAGATAACTGAAAAGAGATATGAATAAGGTTTTGTAAGTAAATAAAAACAAACAAAGTAACGGTTTGCCTTTCTAGTAACACCACTAAACTTAAATCTATAACTTTCAAATTTTTATGACATCAATTGAAATAGCCTGTGATATTTTCATTAATAAATTAACTATAATGGTTGAGCAATGTTGGCCTAGTGGCTTCAGGGTGCGACTCTCATCCCTGAGGTCATAGGTTCGATCCCCGGCTGTGCACCAATGGACTTTCTGTCTATGTGCACATTTAACATTTGCTCAAACGGTGAAGGAAAACATTGTGAGGAAACCAACTTGCCTTAGGACCTAAATAGTCAACGGCATGCGTCAGGCACAGAAGGCTGACCATCATAAAACAGATACAGAAATCTGAGGCCCAGACCTAAAAAGGTTGTAGGGCCATTGATTTATTTTTTATTTTTAAAATGGTTGAGACTTTCCACATAACATTTGAAAAATATAACATTATAAATACTCAGTTGATAAAGTGATTGGTGCATTGAAGCAAATGAAACTATAAATAATGTAACTTTTTACTAAATTATTGTTATACAGATATTAACTTAGCTATTTCATTTTTAAACTAACAAGGTTTTTCCTACTCACCTTTTTCGCCCGACCAATAACACTGGGTTTTCCACACAAACCCAAAATAATAGCACAAACAAAGGTAGACTTTCCTGTTCCGTTAGGTCCGATTATAACATTAAGTGATGATCCAGGATATAATTCCACTTGTTTATATGTCCTAAAATAGAGATTTTATAAATGGACCAACTCAAAGTCTTACTCAAGTGTAATGTAATCCCAAAAACGTACACAAAGTTTTCAAGAGCGATCCTGTAAATACTTCCCGCCTTATTTCCATTACTGTTTATTATTTTGGACATCATATAAATTTATTAAAAACTAGTTTTCCCAAAAGATTACAGATCAGTTAGAGAATAAAAATAAATATAAATAGGCTAATAAGGTATTGTTTTATAAATTAATGTGGATTGCGATTTGTGGACTAGAAAATAGAAATCCAGTGTAAATTTAAATCGCAGTCTGACAGATGACATCAATAATCAATTGCTGTATTTTGACAAGATTGTATCTAAGTGCGTTTTCCAATTACAGCATAATGCTCAACGTTGAATGTTCCAACTACAGCAACGCTTCGCACAATTGAGCACTCTCAAAAGTAATGCTCTCGCGTGCTTCTCGCAATCAATACCAACACAGTGACATAAAATTGACCAGTGTTTTTCTTTAAGTTGGCATTGATGATTGATCGAAATTTTCGTTAGTAAATATTATTTATTGTTGAAAAATTTGTAAGGCTTTCGTTTCGTCGTAGATTTTGAAAATAATTAAAGTTATTTCAAACTGCTAAAAAAAAATATAAGTATGGATGAAGGTATAAATAATTACTTTTTTCATATTCCACATTTAAAATACGAGTACAATTTCATTTTAAAATTCGGTTCGGTAAACAAATTTATTTTACAGGATTATACTTTTGTAAACATGGCAATGGTTTTGAAAAAGTATATAATTTTTTAGACATCATTTAAAAAAATTACTCAAAACGTAAATGATGTAAACTTCTTACATGAAACTAAATATTTTACTGTTCAATTAGCTTATTAAAACCTTATATTCTTTAAAGGTTTTCTCTTATTTCAGTTAAAAAAATGTTAATGAAATATTTTGATTATTAAAATAAGCGTAAATAGTTTTCAACCAATTATTATTGTTTACCACATTATTTATACATTAATGAGGTTGCTAACTCTATTCAGAACATTTTTTTTTTCAACACTGACTTAGCGCACTCTGCTGATGCATATGAAAACTAATTCACGTTCCAATTAAGCTTCAGCATAATGCGGCATTGTGCGGCACTGAGTCGCATTATGCTCTGTAATTGGAAAATGCACTAATTCACTAACACAACGGCAACTTCTATTAAAGACGTGTTACATAGTTAAGTGGTAGTGATACCAACTCCTACAGATGGTTCCTCCTAGAACCAACTTCAAATACCCCCTAAATATCGATTAAAACCCCTTACAGATTTCATTTTATACTCGGTTTGAGAGGTAATTTTAAATGTGCATAAAAAAAAGGGTGCGTGTACTTATGTACGCGCGTAAGAAGTTATACTTCTTTGGCATTATTAGAAATAGATTTTGATTGCATGCAAATAATTAATTACAATTAAATAATCAAAGCCTGGAAAAGGAGTCATTATAGTCAATAAAGTTCAGTTTACATTTGAAAAATTTAATAAATAAATATTTATAATTATTCTCTTACAAAATAAAAAATCATAAAGAAGAATCATACAATTATGCCACATCAGAACTCGCAATAGCGTAGAGAGATGTTTTGGTGTTTGGAAAAACAGATTTAGGTGTTTATTGTCAGTATTGCACAATATAGCCATTGAATTAAAAGAGGAACCTATCTCTGATGATGATGAAGAGACCCTGCCCACACTAACAGTACCCTCATCTCAAAATAAACTGCATGGAGCAGCAGTAAGAGCCATTTTTATTGATGAAAACTTAGTTTGATAGTTCTTAATTTAGGTTGTTTTAACAATTAAGTTATTTAAACAAATAAAGCACTATTTATCTTTAAAACATTTTTATTTCATTATACTATTTATTTTTAAGTGACTCTAATGTCTTCATCAGAATTTCGGTTTGTAATTTTAAATTAATCATTACTTGGTTGTGCATCTACGAGGCTTCTCCAAAACTAAAACTACTACTTGCTTCTGCAACAAATAAGAGAATATTAATTTAAGCTCTGTCCATGCAAAACTTAAAATTTTTTATAATTCATATTATAAAATTTTTAACACATTTATATTAATATAATTATATAAATGTGTTAATAATATAATTTGTAGCACATGCTACAGACCTGGATAGCAACTTTCTTTTATTCTATTTAGAGATAGAGATAATTTAAATATAATACCGGTGTCTTCCTTGTAGGTTTCTTTTGAGTTGTTTGGGGATTCTTGTTGTTCAGTTCGACATGATTTTCTTTAACCTTTTTTAATCCTACAAAATAATGAAATTCTTAAGTTATGTTGTCACTGTTGTGCACACCTTTGTTTGGCATTTTTAGTATTCAAGTTATGTCAAAACTGATTTATTACCTTGTCATTGTTGGCTTTATTTGCTTTTGGGATAGCAATTGTTTCCAAAATGATTTTATTTGTAATATCCTGAAATATATAAATAACATCTATTAATTTAAGTATCATGGTGAGTGGTTCGCACTCAGGTATTAAGGTGTATTATACCCACTGTCCATTATAAGTGGGAATGGGCTCACATCTGGCTGGACAGAGTTTCGGTACTACAAGAGCAACATGGATGTTTTGAGGTATTACAATATCTCTAACTACCCTGTAGGGGAATAAAGTATGTGCCTATGCTTGAGAGGTTGAACCTTGAACATCACCATCATATTTATAATTAACATTCCTACCTCGACACCATCACAATCAAATTCATTGAAATCTACTTCAAACCGTTGCGGTATAATCTCTGCCATATCCATTGTGTCTGGAGAAGGTGATGGTGGCTTTGTTCCACCTCTAGTTTTTGATGTTTCACGGCGATAAGATGACAACTCTTTTTTTTATTCAATTTAGTGCACTTCCACTGATTCATCAATTGTTTTTTGTCTCTTGTCCTTATATTTGCTAGATTAAATCTGAAAAATTACATGTTTTGATTAAATAATGTAATCATTTTTTTGAGATACAGGTACTTATTAAAATGTTTACTTCTCTGTAATATCGCTCCAAGCCTTCATTTTCTCCTTATTAGTATTCGTGCTTAAATCTTTGTTCTCAATTATTGATATATAGGGTCGTAGAATATTTCTAAAAGTTGCTGTAACAAACGCAATAAACAAAAGCAATGAATAATGGTTCATGTTTCAGTTTTAATCAACAATAATACTCGATAATACATACGGATAGTTAACCTCAATTGTATTGAAGCACTCAGGAAGTTCGGCACAGTTTTTTCACAAATATTTTATCATATGAATTAGTATTGATTTAGATATTCAATTTAAATCACTTCTGATTATAATTCAGACGCAAATATAAAATTCGCACTTGTATAATAAAAATAACTAGGTATATAATCTTTAAAACTAATTAATACTCCTATATTTGTTTCAAATGTCATTGTCAGATGTCATGGTCATTCAAAATTCTTGTTAAGCTGCTAAGCTAAGAAATAGAATATGCGTGAAGTTAGCTTCACGCATATTCTATTTCTTTTACTTGTAGATTGCGCAGTGCGCACGCTATAATCACACTCCCAATTTTGTGTCATAGGTGCGCGCGCATCGTAAAATTTCACTCTCATCAATTTTTCATAACGCGCCTAAAGAAGTATAACTTCAAAAATCTATTCAAGAAGTATAAAATTTCGAGCTTTTTGATATTTCAGTTATTGCCACGCCTGGATTTTTATTTTTATTTATATATGATTTAGTTTATTAATTGGGGTCTAAGCTTAATATAGATTGTATAGAACTGTGCGTTTTTAAGAAAATATAAATAATTTTCTGGTGCAAAGTACCTCCTAAAAATCCCCCAGGATCTATTCAAATTTGGTGTGAAAACCCCCAAGTTGGCATCACTCCTGTGACAGTGACACATATAATATATAAAAATAACTTTTTAGTGAGAGTGACTTAAACCATTTTCTTAAGGAAGCAGAACATTATATTATATTATGACACTTTCCAGTACCCGCGAAAGTGAGCTCTATTTAAAATGACAAGTTTGGTGCTACCCATAGTAATTCTCTCAGCCGTCAGGCGTCAAGTATAGTCTGTGTCAAGCTGTCATCACTCGCTAGTCGCTACTAACTTCGGACTTGCCAGTTGTCTGTAATGCTCGACAATACTAAAATTTTCGTTAGTTTGTGTTGTTTGTGGTCGAGGTGAACGTATTTCATGCGCGTCTAATTCTCTTAATTATTTTTGTGAATGGAAAACCTAGATCTGAAATTTTACTGAAATTTATTTGTTTCTAATGATTAAGAAAATAAATAATTAGATGTTGGTTATTTCGTTTAATCACTAAAAAGCGGGGTAAACATATTCCACCATCGGTTCGACTCCATTGACAATATCCTTGTTTATAAATATTGATTTGTTGAAAATCTCTTTTCCTACCTCTCTTTTGTCTTGAATTGTGTAGTGCGATGTAGTTAAGGGAAGGAAGTGTTAAAGATAACAATTACCTTTGTGAAAATGCAACAGTTGTCCGATTTTCGCGATGACGATTTTTAATGTTCAGTGTTATGTGCTTGTCTAGTGTTTCGTGTTTTCAGTGATTTCATGGTGAAATTTTAAGCATTTTGACAATGGAGGGGACTACAGAGAAGGACTGTTCTCCCTTGTGGAGTCTTTACCAGCAAATAGTGGCAGACATGAAGGTAGGTCATTTAATTTTAATCAGCATCTTACGTTTCACCGTTCGATGTGGTTGCCGCGGCCGCCCCACATTTTCTAATTTGTCCTGATAAATCGTTCGTATTGAACGAAATGTTTGTAATTAGTAAAATCAAAATAGCGGAAATATTCTCTTGGGCTTTGATGTGTAGATTAAAATTTACTAAATTGAGGTAATGGTAGCTTAAAGTGAAAATGAAATTTGTAACAATATAGACAAAAAAAAAATTTTTATGCTATTAAACTACTTTATAGCTTATCATAATATATTCTAGTATGCCATTTGAAATATGGGCTTAAACTTCAGTGTCTGACTCTGTTAATCTTCATATAGTTAATATAAAAGTAATTAACAATTTTTATCACTGAATGAACTGACCTAAGTTCAAGCTTTTTTGATATT